ATTATGCCCTTCTTATTGTGTTCTTCCTTGGGGATTTCAACAGGGCGTAATTTGACGGTGACGCACGTCAGATGTCATCGTTATAACACTAGCGACGCTGGATCCGTCGTTATAACACCATGGACCACTAATGCGTGAGCCGTTGTTCTGACAATTCTCTATTAGAGCGCCATCGTTTTCTTCGGCAGGTGCATCTCCACATCTTAGGCCTTAAATATACTTTTGATTTATTTACATGAGAGACGGCCACAAGGATATTTACGGCGCCATGCAAATCGGACCTTGTAGATTTGTTTTCGATTTTCCAGTGTTCAAATAAGCTTTCCCCTCCTAGCGGCAGATGCCACTAAGGAGCAAAATTCCCGGTCGTAAATGCACCAGCCAACCACAGTACTTGCAGACCTCCTAGTAAACTTTGGTAATTCTTCCAGTGACGTGCTGTCGCCCCAGAGATTAACTGGCACAAACATTGCCTAGAGCTTTATATTATATTGCAGCCTTTCACTTAAACCACAATAAAGTAAGAATTTTCCACCTTTTCTACTGATCGAACAGACTGGTAACACTTTCTCCGCAACTCCATATCGGCATATTAGGTCCACGGGACATCACCGGTCCATCGCAGCTGCGGTGAGATATTGCCTCTACTAAGAAACCATGCTGAAGGAGATATCGTTAGGCCGCATCTTCACTGCGCACCACTTTAGCATAAAACCTCTCCTAACAACATATTGAAGGTTGTGCTAAAGTAAGAACAGAACTGAAGGCGAGATTCACGCTATAGTAGCGCTAACTGTTCTCTGATGACAGTGAGCTCGCAGACACTCACGGACAGCGCCAAAAAGATTTTCACAACTGCTACTCCGACGGTCTACGGGAGGTTGAGATTGAACGACTGACAGCGAGGAGGGTGGCGGTGGTGCCGGTGCGGGAGGTGGCGGCATGCGAATGCGATAGCGCTCGAGTTCGTGCTCCACAGCCTCGTTGATGTCCGAGGAGTTCATGATGGTCTCCAACCTATCGCACAATTCCACGAACATCGGCCGATCCTTGGGATCCCAGCTCCAACCTATGCGAAAAATTAGTCAAATAAAATTATCATAATACGCGAAAACCGTTAGGTTGGTGTTGCAAAACATCTACGAACGACAGAACTCTGTGGGGAATAGTTTTTTTCAGCGAGTAGGGTTCATAACCTGTGGTGCAAAAACCAATGAAAAAAAAACAGATGGGATAAACGGTTGCATCGAGACCGAGGAGGTCGTAGGATAGACAGGATAATCATCCAGGGACGTCCAATAGACAACATCAACTTTCACCATGTCTACAGCCTGCGATAAGAGACGGTTGACCCCAAGTGCTCGAAGCCTTGGGCATTGAAAGAACGTATCCTGTTGGGACGAGCCAAACAGATAGGTAGCCTGCGCAAGCAGCTGCGCGCACAGCAGTCTATCGATCGGCCATAGGCAGCAAACACAACTTGCAGTCAAATCAATCTATAATTCAAAATTTCAGCTGAATTTCAGCCGCCTAGTCCCAGCCAATCACGCCGGTAGCCAAAAGCTGATTGGCTCGCTGGACCTAGCTCACAGTCGTTTGTTGCCCTAATTTTGTTGTACCTGTTCCACACTCAAGGACTTGCTCCGA